CAAAATCAGCTGCTTGCATCAGATGTCGTACCCCTCCACTTCCCCAATCGCCTTGGCCGACCTATGCTTAGGTTGGACTTGTTCTCCTACAGGCGGAGTTTGGACGAAAAATTACAAATACCAAACATATTCAAAATTAGTCAAAAAATCGTCCCCAGACTATTTTTTGACTATTTTTGAATATTCCCCCTGTAGAGGGACAGGCCCGACTTAAGCATAGCAACAGATTTCGTACCCCTCCACTTTCCCAATCGCCTTGGCCGACCTATGCCCTCCTGCGGGCGCCGCGCGTGCTGGCCGCGTTGCCTTGCCTCGCCTGGCGAGAGGGCTCCCGCCCAAGGAGTGGGCAGCCTTTCCGCCTGGGCACTGAAGTTGACTGAATGTGGTTACCCCTTTATCAGGGCGTGCCCAGATTTGCAATGTCGTAGGCCCCCCTTGCTCAATCCCCCCTCGAAGTTGACTGAACGTGGATCCCCGTTTATCTTGGGGGCGCGCAAACATGGATTAGCGATCCATGAATTTGGCGCGCGGTCGCCAAATCCATTGTTCGGGGGAGGTTCTCCAACATGCGGCCGGTGCCGCCTCGCTCGGCGGCGGGAATCTGAGATTTCCCATTGAAGCGGGACCCGTCGCTAATCCACGCACGCCCCCTTGATCCACGCGTGCGATCGCCTCACTATCGGGGCGCGCGCAACTCTGCAAGGTCGTAGGCCCCCCTTGCTCGATGCCCCCTCTCCTTCCGTGCGACCCGAGTGTGCACTGGCACCGATCCTGGTCAGGCCGACCCTGGGCCAAGGATCGATGGGACGTACAGAAACGTGTTAAAACTATATGTCCTCCTTGGAGGCGCGCGTCCGACCCGAACAGATAGTATTCCCATCCTGTTGTGTATCTTTTCGCGAGCGGTGCGGTCAGAAAGCGCCCGCCACCACGCATATATCAGAAGATTTCTCGGTGCGCGCGTCGCCCCTGGGGGGCGACGCAGATATAGTATAAACATGTTGGGGCGACGCCGAATCGACGCTTGTACCGCTGGTGGGACACCAGTCTTTGCGCTTCGCGCCTCGAAGCGCGGAGGACGCCTACCTGTGGAGCCCCAAACCCGGCCCAAAAAGACCCTCTTGAAGCCTCTGGAGGGAGCTCTGAGAGCTCTTGGAAGGAGCCTCCGAAGGAGCTTCGTTTGCGCTTCGCGCCTCGAAGCGCGGGACGCCTACCTATGGAGCCCCAAACCCGGACAACGGAGCGCCCAAAAAGGCCCTCCGGAAGCCTCAAGGAGCTCTGAGAGCTCTTGGAAGGAGCCTCCGAAGGAGCTTCGTTTGCGCTGCGCGCCTCAAAGCGCGGAGCACATAACTATGGAGCCCCAAACCCGGACAACGGAGCGCCCAAAAGGCCCTCCGGAAGCCCTTGGAAGGAGCTCCGATAGCTCTTGGAAGGAGCTCCCGAAGGAGCTTCTGGAGAGTTCGACGGCACACGTGCTGGGAAACGCTTAGGAAAGGCCTCTCGGGGCAAAGTGCGACCTCAAGCAAGCCGCAGCGGGGAGCCTTTGCGATTCGCGCTTCCAAGCGTGGAGCACCTACTGCGGGTGATCTAGATACACGTCTACGCCTGATGCCGAGCAACAGGAGCAGAGCATTGTTACACAACACGATACATGAAAAAAGGCTCCAGGTCGTCACACAAATCCCCGTGGGCACAGGAGACGAGCACACAGTGGGATGGGCAAGTGATCCTCAGAGAAACTCTGGGACGCTGTGAACAACCACCTTCCCAGAGGATTAGGAGGAAGAAGGCGGGTGTAGATGCCTTCCCCGCCAAACCAATAAATCATACAGATCGATCCTGGGCACCAAATTGGCCTGGTCCGCAACGGTGCCCGTATCCAATTGGCTCCCCCCTAAGGGCGGGGAAGAAAGGAGGAGGTCCAGGAGGCAGACGTGGAAGCGGAGGATACGAACGCAGAGGATGAAGAAAGAGAGGAGTTGGGTGAAGGATGAGGAAACAGGGGAGAATAATGGAGAGGAAGGAGAGCAACAACACGTTGATCGACCTTGGTGGTGAAGACCTGCGACGGTGAAAGAAGGAAGCATACGGTATATGATTCGTGAGCTCCGTCGCCACTCCGGTCGGTCCCGTAGCCCAGTCCGCGAGGGCCACGCAAGCCCTGTGTGCACGAACAGCGCGCGAGAGCGCTGCGAGGGCGTGCAGAGCAGGCAGGGAGGTGAGTCAGAGCCAGGGGAGGATATGGGAGGGAACGGGGCGTGGCAGCAGAGAAGCAATTTGCACACGATGCTGGCCTGACGAAGCGAGCCTCCATGCACGCATGGAAGCGTCGAGCGGATTATGCGCCTAGGCTTCAGTCGGCAGCATCCGAGGCCAGTGCAGGTCGGAAGAGGATCTCTCGGGGATCTTCATGACGAGCAGGCAGGATGACGAAGATCTTTCGAAGGCGCAAGCTCACCGACGGGGCTGCTCGGCTTGCCTGCGGGCCGTACTCTCACGCGGCTCGACCGCGCCAGCCACAGGTGGTGCTGCGCGCGGACACTGGAGCTGCGCACAGTCGAGCACGCGTGGCATGACCCGAACGATGAAGTCCCGCGAACGCGGCACGATGCGGCGCGAGCGCGCGGCGCCACGAGCTCGTAGTCCGCGAGCGGCCCCGCTACCGCCCCCAGGGAGGCACAGGAGCTGGGACGCCGCTGCGGCCAGCTTGGAGAGCGTGGACGCCATGGGCCGTCCTCCCACACTGGCACCCGGTTCGGCTGGTGTGCAGCACGAGCTCGACCACAAAGAGACCTTCCGCGAGAAACCCGACCCCGGGGCCCCAGGACGTCCATTGATTCTTGGAGCGGGAAGGTCGCGCTTTCCATACAGCAAAGACATCGAAACCCAGAAGCCCAGGGCACCCTGGAGGCAAGCAGGGTGTTTCTTGGCATGGGTTTCCACTGTAGTTGTAGTTCCACCCGCAGCTGGACGTCGGGTTCATCACGGCGTGACGCGTACCTTCGGCAGAGGTCGTGACAACGTAAATGATGCTGCAAGAACCCTCAGTCCTCGAAGGGAACGCCCCGACAGGAAATGACGAGTTCCGCGGCTCGGCGGCATGCACTCGGTCCACATCAGCCTTGAGCCAAAACTGCTACGGAGGGGAAGAGAGGAAGATGAGGGAAAGGGACAAGCAAGGATGAGGAGGGTCGGTACGTAGGGGAGGGAAGAAAAGGGTAGGAAGAAGAGGAAAGGACGCGGAGGAAGGGGATGCGGGGAGGGGAGGGGGGGAACAATGAGGGAGGGAGGTGAAGGAAGGAGGCGGAAGGGACGCGGGGGAAAGAAGGAAGGGGAAGAGGGGGGAGGAAGGGAGGGAGGAAGAGAAAGGGCAGGGGTGCTTGTGCAGCCCCCTGGACGCGCAAGATCTAGCCGCGGGCCTTCTTGGGCTTGTCCCGCCTCGCCGGCACCATCGCCCAGCTGCCGCTCGCCTCCGGCTCCGGTCCCGAGACCGCGCCACTCCCCCTCGTCCAACCAATTCAACCCTCCTCCTCCTCCTCCTCCACCTCCTGCCCGCCTCCCTTCCCCCGATCTCGCCGCTCCTCCTCCTCATCGCTCCTCCTCGTCCCCTCCTCTACCACACCTCCTGCAGAGGCGCGCTCCTGATCAGGCTACCACAGCACAACTCCAACACAACGACCAAAACAAACACAATGTTCTCAAGTCCTCCACATGTCTCGAACTCAATTTTGCCGTCCTCATCCTTATCGTCACCGAACTCCTCCACCTCCCCATCCATTCTCTTTCTAGCTCTTCGCGTTGCGTGCTCAACACCCAGCTCCTCTGTAAATTCAAATGCTGTGGCAACATCGAACAGGTCATCGAGTTTGCTAGACCGTACAGTAGGGCGCCCATACCCTCCTGTCAACACATTCCTCCTGCTACATCACCCCCCTCACCCTCGTCCCCTGGCGGCGCGCAAGGAGGTGACCGGAGGTGGGGGGCTTCTTTGAAAGAGGCTGCTTCGTAAAAGGCCCCAGCCTTATATCTACAGATAAGGCCCGCGCCTTCTAAGAAGAGGGGGTGCTTCTAAGAAGCCCTCCCCCTCCTCACCACTCTCTGCGCGTTGCTGACATCTCCCTCCACGCTCGCTGAAGTGCAACTGATGCTAATCGTGCGTGGTGTGGGGCACCAGAATTCAGACATCCTAACTGGATTTTGGACTCGGAATCTGCTGCCACCTTGTGACTTCGGGCCCTTGCCCTCGCAGACTGCCCACACACACGCTTGCCATCTCTGCCCTCGCAGATGGACCGCCAGAGAAAATGAAGAAAACGGATCAGGCTGTTGAAGCATACAGAAAGCATTTCTAGCGCGGCTGTCGTCATGCCATGCTCACTGAGCTTTCTTGCTCGGAAGCGGGATGTGGCAACACGACTGGCCATCTGCGTCCTGGTTGTTATCCGGCACGTTGCAGCAGATATGGGGCTTCGGTGTCGACTCAGGGAACAACATCTGAATCATTGTGATGTTCCAGGACACCTGCCTGTCTGGGACTCCCCCCGCCAAGGCAAAACTGGAACTCTCAGAATCTGGCTCTCTGCTGACATGAAGACTTGGCATTGGCGCTCCGATAGGAGTGAGTTGGTACACGAGTTCGCCTTTGAAGCTCGTCGGGACCGCGATGTCTGCCACACCTGCGCTGTCAAGTGTGACTCGTCCACAGTGTGTCCTCGTTACCTGAACAGGCTCTGGGCGTTTCATGACACCCCGAAGAGAAGTGGAAGGCTTATTCATGACGTAACTCTTGAGGAAGAAGTGTCCAAAGAGCACCAACATGGACATCATGTACGTGACCATGATAACTTTGGCGAAATATGGTGCTCCGCAACGGCTGCCGTGGTGAAGCGACACCGCAGACTGCACTGCTATCAGGCAGAACTGGACAAGCTGCATGGACGTCAAGTAGGGCTTCCACGGCGTTGGTAACCCGATCGCAGATACCAAATAGTGACTATACATCAACACGTGCACGAACGCATTGAGCAGAATGGGCAAATACATGTCCCCGTTGAAGTTCGCTGGCCCCCTGGGGTCGTTGGCGTGTGAGAACTGCTGGAGGTCCCCAAATGGGGTCCGAGCTGATGGTGTCGCAGGATCGCGCCGCACCGCCGATGCAACGCCGACGTCGGCGATGCATCGGCGACGTCGTGGAACCATTGGGATCCACCAGGGCTGGACCCAAACGTTGTTGTTCGTTTTGTGTTCGCTGTGTTGTTCGTTTTGCTCTGCCCGTTGTCCTGTACATCCCTGCCAAAGCGAAAAACAAACCACAGCCGAAGTCCAGCACAACAGCGTCTAGGTCCAGCCCTGGGACCCACAGCGAGCCGCACCGCCGACGCATCGGCGGTGCGGCGCGGTTTTCCGATCCAGACCGCTCGGGCCCCATAAGCGAGGCTTGGACGAAACCCTCCCCTCGGGGTCGATTTGTGCGCTTAGAAGGATAGGATTGAAGGGTTAGGGTTTACAGTGGAGGCCCGTCCACAAGAAACCTTCCACAAGACAGCCGACCCTGAGACCCCAGGACGTCCCTGGATTTGCGGTGTGGGAACGTCGCGCTTTCCATCGAAACACCATCGACACCCAAGAAACCCAGGTGAGCGTTTTTGCATTCGGCGTTTCGAAATTGCGCGGCAAGGGGGGGGGAGGGGGGGGTTCTGGCTCCAGACCTCTGCTGAGTGCGACTGTTTGCAAGAGTGCGGCCCCTGGGGGGGACTCCAACCGCTCGAAACAGGCAGGCGCCAGAAAAAAACAGCCAAGATTTACTCCATGGGGGGAGGGGTGGTTTGGGGGCCTGCGCCAATCGGCACAACAATGAATCAAAAAACGGTCACCAGGGCACCCCGGAGGCAAGCAAGGTGCTTCTTGGCATGGGCCCCCACTGCAGGGTTTAGGGTCTGAGCCGTGCACGGCCGGGTGAAAGCTCGAGGCCTCTCGAGGTGGGCCCACGACATTCCAGGGAGGGATCGCCGAGGTGAGCCGAGACGACCCTGGGCGGGCCGCCAGGGACCTCCGCCGTGAGTTCCAAGGAGCGAACGAAAGGGCTCCACGACAACCCGTCAGATGCCCGAAGAGAAAGCCCCAGACCGCGGACATCAGCCGAGCGCGCTGGATACAAAATCGCATGCTTCTGTCCAAGTTCGGTCCTGTATGGTATGCACCCCCCGTGCCGCGAGGCACGCCGAGTGCAGTGTCCTCAGGGCCCTTCACAATCTCTGCATTGAAATTTAGAATGCGTTTCACGGGGCACAAACCCCAGCTTCTCTAAAGTGTCGGGCGTTCCCAAGGCTTCTTGCACAACTTTTCCCACGGCCTGGGGAGCAAGGTTGGGAGTCCACACTCTCAACGTGCCAAAAGATGGCTCAAGGGGACCGTCCTGCATTCCTCTTGGGAGCCTCTTGGACCGTTTTGGAGGCCCCATGAGGTCTGAACAACTATAGGCTGTCTGATTTGCGCATGCTTGTGCACCTTTTCTGCCTCCCAACAATACAACACAAGAAACAACCGCAATGTCTTTTCGTGACGTCCAGCGGTTTGATAAATAGCCTGGAATCGTTATTGTATTCATGGGGGTACGCGTGTTACCCAGGGGGGGGCGGGGGGGGTTACGCGAACGGCGGCCGCGGCGTGCGCCCGCCAGGGTGAGTCCGGGCCACCAGCACATCAATCGCCTGTGCGCACCACAGTCCATGTGTACACGACAATGCCCAATGCCTGCGTGCCAGTACTTGTGCACACGACAATGCCCGATGCCTGCGTGCAACAAAGCGACGCCTGCGTACACCACAGTGCCTCCGTCCACCACGCCAGTCGCGCGCACCACAGCACCACGTCGCCTGTGTACACCGCAATGCGCAACAGCGCCTGTGTACACCACGGTGCTTGCGTGCACCAGAATGCTTCTGTACACCACAGCGCCTGTGTACACCACAGCAACCATGAGTACCGCAGCGCCTGTGCACACCACAAAACCTCCGTGCACCACAACGTGTGCACCACAACGCCAAACGTGCCGGCGGGCGCGTTAGGAGCTTGCGGACACCATTGTGAGCGCCACAGTGCGCCGGGGGCCTGCTACGAACCAATGGCGCGACCAAGGCGCGAGGAATGCTCGACCATGGAGCAGCCATGCCCCGAGGGGAACGGGCTTTGGGGCGCCAGCGGGACGCATTCGCCAGCCAGGATCGATTTCTGACAGCCCCAGGGTCCGCCGAGAGAAGTAAATGGAGGCGGGAGGTGGGGGAAGGTTGGAGGATGTGGCGCGTCGACCGTAGTAGAAGTCTATGTCGTGACGCCTTGGAAATTGGTTTCTAACACCGCGTGGATCGCTCAGTCTTGAACGACCTGCGAAACCGGAAGTTCAAGCCCATTATTGAACCATGACTTCGCACCGCGGGTTCGTCTCTGAGAATCCTGGAGCCCGAAAGCCCGAAAACCCTCGCAACCTCGAACGTCCGCGTTGGGGTCGCCGCCGCGCCGCCTCTGCGCCGGCGAACTGTCTGCGGCCAGAGGCAACAACGGACGACAACGAGAGCCCCCCCCCACTGGGGCCGCCAAGCTGTGAACATGCTGTTATCTGGTTCCCTTCCCCTTCCCACCTCCTACTCCCCTCCGCCTCCTCCTCCTCGTCCTGCCCATTCTCCTCTGCTATCGTCCTGCTGCACCACAACGCCTGCGTGTACCACAACGCCTGCGTACACCACAGCAGCCGCGTGCACTACAGCGCCTGTGTACGCCACAGTGCTTCCGTGCATAACAACGCCTGTGAACACCGCAGCACCTGTGCACACTACCAGTACCCATGTTCACCTCAGCGTACGCGTACGCCACAGTGCCTGCAACGCACTGGCCCTGCGTGCGCGTCGATGTCTGCGTGCGCCAGAGCGCCTTACTCCTTACAGTGTACTTTGGAAATTGCAAAAATATTCACGCTTGCGTCTGGTTTGTAAGCGCTACCGTTGCGGGGAGGGTCTGGGGCGGGGTAGCAATATTAAAAAAACGATCCCCTCCGTGGTTTTCCTCTTCGCAACCGATCCACAAATAATTCGCCCCTATTCTTTTCCAGGCAACTTGGCCCGACAAATGGTTCGAACCGCATCCAGCCGAAGCAGCTTAGGAGACAACCGCAAGTAGAAAGGAGCGGTGAAAATGCACGCTTGCAGACAGAAGCTGGCCCCGCAAAGCACCCGAATGGCAGAGAGGGAGGGGCGGAAGCATAAGAAGGGTGATGGGAAGGGGGGGGAGAAGGACGCCAACATCGAGTGGGCACGAAAAAAATGCACCTGCCGACAAGAGCAGGCAAGTGACCCCCCAGGGATCGATCCTGCAGTGGCAATGTTAAATCAGTATCGTAATCCCATAGCAAGACGCGAACAGGGAATAACAGCGAAGTGTCCCACCCTCCCCCAACATCCACGCCTGCAACAGGCCACCAAGCTGACCCAAGTGGCACCGAGGGACGTCAAGAAACGCAGTGGGGGCCCGAAGGCAATGATCAGAATGCTCCAACTGGCCTTGGACGCCAAGACTTATCGCTAAACTCTACAGATCAACGATTGTTCTGGTGCCACCTTAACTTGCACGATAGGGCCACAGTCACTTCACAAAACCGCCCAAAATGAAGGTCCCCAGATGGCACAAATTAACCTTCAGAGGCCCCAAATGAGCAATTCTCCGCCAAATCAATCAAAGATAGCCAACGGAACGCCCAAAGGCTACCGTACCGGAGATCGCCTCCAAAAGCACCCGAAGCCGCCCCTAGTTTGTTAACGATGGTCCCAAGAAGCTCCCGACAGGGCAGAAAAGGCTGAGCGAGAAATCCGAGGAACAAGAGCGACCCCAAAGGACCCCAAACCAAGATGGCACCAGGCTGAATATGGGTTTGGCGGATAGAGTGATGAATCGAAGGGTAGGATCAAACCGACAACGATGTTGATGGAACAATGGTGGAACACATGGAGAAAGGTAACCTGTCGAAACGACATGCGCAAGAGGAAAAACCACGTGTCCAGGAACTCCCAAAACTTCTGGGCAAAGAATACCCAAAATACATGCGCCAAGAAACCAGCGTGACCGTCATCATCACCATCGCCTGGAATCACAGTCCGGTTGCACACAAAATTGCGCTGAACAGACCTGGCCGAATACATGATGCCCCAAACGACGTACCCAGCCAGGACCACGCAAGTGAAATTATACAACAACAGGATACTCTTGAATGACTTGCACTTGAACGGTACCCCTCGATACCCCATGTACTTGTACAATGCGAATGTGACGCCCAAATAAAATATGTTCGCACTGACCAAGAACTGCCAAGAAGTGCCGGGTAGATCAGGCTGGAAGCCGGCGTCTACTCGAGATCGCCATTGCACCAGCTGCTCTGAGTAAGAATCCGATAATGCTTGCAAAAGGAGCATCCTGTTCGTGGGGCAGCGCGGGCGGACACGTCAGCACTGACCTGTAACAGATAGCTTGAGCCCAAACCGCTGCTGATTTTTCGGGTTGTAATGGTACTAATCAAGAACTGACGATGATGGTGATGAAGAATAGCGGGTTGTTGGATCTCTCGTGCCAGAAGCGTGGTGAGAGAGAGACGTAGAGAAAGAGAAAGAGAGAGAGAGGAACAACAAACACATATACCGACAAGAGACCCCTTGGGGGGTTAAGGAGGCTGTGGGGGAGGCAATGGGGGGATCGACGTAATCTTTGATATCCATAAGATGCGCAATTCAACTCACAAGTGGACAAACATCGGGACACCCACATGGATCAACATATGTTTTTATGCTTTAACAACCACCAAATCACCACAACACATCCACAGGGCGACCATGGGACAACCACAAAATAACCACAACACAACCACAAAACAGCCACGGACCACGGGACAACCGCGGGACAACTACGGGACGACCACGGAGCAAGCATGCGACAAACACTAGATGGGACAAACACGGGACACGCACAAGGCAAACACAGGACAACCATGGGACAGCCACGGGACACCCGCAAGACAACGACAGGACGAAAAAGGGACGCACGCGGGACACGCACGCGACAAACACAGGAAAAACACGGGACATGAACACAAGACAAGCACGGGGTAAGAACAGGAAAAGCAAAGGGCCAACCATGGGACAAGCACGGGGCTTACAGGACCACCACATGGAACAACCACGGGACAAGCACGGAGTCACCGCGGGACAACCAGAAAACAACCACGGGACAAACGCAAGGCAACCACGGACTCGTGAGCGTTTTCTAATTCGGCGTTTCGACATTGAGCGAAGAGAGGGGGGGGTCTGGCTCTGGACCTCTGATTAGTGCGACTGGTTGCGACTGTGCGTCCTGTGAGGGAGACTCCGCCTGTTCAAAGCAAGCGCAAAAACAGCCAAGATCTAACTACTCCATGGGCGGGGGGGGGAGGGCCGGCGCCGATCGGCAAAACAACGAACAAAAAAACGATTCCTTGCTGGCGTCTTGCCGCGACACCCACGCGAGGTCCACACGTTGAAGACAGACCGCCTTCCACCCTGGCAAATACGAGAGGTTAGAAGCGTAGGGAAAGCCGGAGGCGAAACGCCCGGGCCGCCCCACTGACACGTCTGGTGGCGCGACATGCAGGAGCCACCTACAACGAAAACGGGGGGAGGGAGAGGGCTGCCAACAGCATTGGACGACGACGACGGGCCCGCGCCGATCGGCAAAACAACGCATAAGAACACGATCGCTTCACCGCGGTACAGCCACGGGACAGCCGCGGGACGGCCCGGCGCACGCCCCGAGCGGGCGGGAAACCGGCGCTCCTTTTGTCGCAGCCTGGGCCTGGCTGGCTGCAACTTCGGGGATATCCGCCGGCCCCCCCCTGCGGGGGGCCACCATGCTGCGGGGCCCGGTTTCCCCTGCTCGCTGCGCCAATATACCAGCTTCCAGTCGCCAATGTTACCGTTCTACTTTGCGGTCGGGCATGCCCTCCTACAGGCGGATTTTGGATGAAAAATCAAACATCGGAGGTTGGGGGGTGTGAACGCAAGTGGCCCCAAGCGGGAAATCGGTTTCGGCTTCGGTTCGCGTCGTGCGTGTGGGCGAGGCGAAGCTGCGCGAGTTCCTGCACTGGTAGAGGCCACATGGAGCCCCCCCCCCCGGCGGGCGCGTGTCCCGTGGTTGTCCCGCGATTCTCCCGTGGTTGTCCCGCGGTTGTCCCGTGGTGGTCCCGCGGTTGTCCCGATGGTTGTCCCGCGGTTGTCCCGTGGTTGTCCCATGGTTGCCCTGATGGTTGCCCCGGTATAAACGGGTCGATAGATAGAAAGGCAGATGTGCGCGACAAGGACAATTGAAGAAACCACCAAAGAACCCAGAGCCATCGCGACCGCCTTCCCCTTCCCCCCCAACCTCCTTATCACCCTTAGGGTGGTCCTGTCGGTATATAAAGAATGCGGGGAATAGTCACAAGACCATTTTTGAACTATTTTTGAGAATTCCCCCTGTAGACGGACACGCCCGACTTAATTCACGTTTTGCTTCCTGCTGCAAGTGGTTACTGTCTGCGCCAGCGGGAAGGCCGAACACCACCCTGGTTACCACCATGAGGTTTCGTTGCCAGAATCCATCGCAAATTGGTCAAATGTCGGACTCCCGAAACCCGAATCCTAAGTAAATTGTACCAGGTACGCGCTCTGGAGGCCAGAATATATGGCAAAGTGACCTGCTTCGCATGATGTTTGCCTCGTGCTCTCGAAGCAGGAAGCCCTATGAAATTGCACCGGACTTGCGCTGCCGAGGTCGACATCCTTTGAACAGTGTACCATATTCGAGCCCCCGAATCTACAACCTCTTGCAAATTACATCAGCTTCGCACTCCCGAGAACACGATCCCCCGTAGATTGTGCCAAGCTCGCGCTCCCCAGGCCGCGTTCCCTTGTATATTCCGCCTGATGCGCGCCCTGAGAAGGAAACAAGGCGTTCAACAGAAACTCCAGCATCTCAAGGTGCTTGCTGAATGCCAATCGCCCTCGCATGTTGTCCCCAAAATTTTCAAAACAGCGCCGACACGTCACAGCATAGCTCTGACATCTCCAATTCTGATAGAGCGGGGGCCGGCGGCGGAAGGCGAAGCACTTGCGGATGTGTTTCGTATAATGCGACGCCGAAGCCTGAGCAATCGGACGACACACGCATGCTGTTGCGACACATGCTGCCGCGCCTCAACCACATGCATGCTGCTGCGCTCCCCCACCGTAAGATCTGAATTCGAGGACTCCCTGCGTGGGGAACTCTTTTCGGTCGTCTACCCCTCTAGTTCAAATTCCAAAGAAGAGTCAACATCGTCTGATGTTGCCTGGTTTGGCCCCTGATTTTGCCTAGAGACATCTTTAGAATGTGTTTGGCTTGGGGCCCTGGTTTGGCCTGATTTGGTGCCAGTTTTGCCTGAGATGTCCTCACAGTTTGGCTGGTTTGGCTTAGTCTGGGGCCAGTTTTCCCAAAGACAGACGTCCTCAAACATTTTCCTGGTTTGGCCTGGTGTCGGCGCGGCTTCGCCTGAGCTGGTTTCGGCGCGGTTTCTTGAAACGTCCTCGCAATTTGCCTGGCTGGGTCTTGTTTGGGGTCTGGTTTCGCCTGAGACGTCCTCACGATTTACCTGGTTTGGCTTGGTTTGGGCGCGGTTTAGCATGAGACGTCCATGCGACTTGCCTGGTTTTGCAGCGGTGTCGCTTGAAATATCCAGAGTAACCGATCGCTTTGTTATGATTCAGGGTGAACTTCGCTTACAGCGTCCTCATATTTGGCTTGGTTTGATGCGGTTTTGGCGGCCTCTAGCTAGAGAGGCCCTCCACGTCCTGTGTCCCGCATGGTCCAGGTTTGACCACCATCCACCTGAGATATCCTCTCGTCCACTTTGGATTGACTCCTTCAAGACGCAATAAGAGACCCCAACCCACAGCCAAGAAAGCGCCATCAGAAACTGGAGCAATCATGAAGAATGGCACCAAGATGAGGTGATGCCAATACTGGGGATAGGGATGTGTCAAGCTGGTAAAATACAAAAACCGGCTGCGCAACCCCCGCTCTGCAGTGCAAGCCACCGCATCCGCACCGCGCAACCCACCGCGCAGCCTACCGCGAAGCCTTCCGCGCAACCGCATGGCGACACCGGCACGGCGTGGCGTCAACGACTGGACCCTGACAGGCTAGGCCAACCCCCAACAACAGAAGTGATAACCCTTCCAAGAGAAAGACCAGCTCGTACGTGCCTTGGGCTACGACAGCCCATGGGCGTGTACACCGCCAGATCAGTCATGCAGATCTACATGGCGCACTCTCTGGCGCCGTCTGCCTGGAGGCGTCACTGACTGCAAACTGAAGGCAGAAACTGTCACCGGTCAAAGGGATTGCATCAGGCAACGCAAAACTCATTCCTTCCTGGGTGCCCCGGCTCGCCGGACGCACGTGTCGGTGGCGAGGAGGGGGAGGGCCAATTTGAGTGTGACAAACTAATCTACTCGCCACAGCTCGAGCGATGTGCCACCCTCAATGCACTGGAAGTCAAACCATCACTGGCTTATCGCCGTCACTTGACAGTCGGTGGTTATCTTTTGACCACGCTGCTACGTTTAGGTGCGGCATGTCCCCCTACAGGCGGATTTTGGACGAAAAATTGAAACTACCTCCAAAAAAACTTAAAAATTATCAAAAATGGTAGAGAAATCGTCCCCTGACTTGTTTTAAACTATTTTTGAATATTCCTCCTGTAGAGGAAAACGCCCGACTTCAGCTTATTGCGTCACTTGACAAGCGGTGGCTGCTGCTTGCTTTCGCACTGACGGGGAGAAGCAGGCCGGCGTTCGAACCCTGGAGCGGGCATGAGACGGCCGCTCCGAGCCAACGGGCCGCTCCCTCGCCATCCGGCAGGTCGCCGACGTGGAAGGGCCCTTGGGGCCCTCGGGGGCGGCCAGGAGGCGGGCGTCCAAGAGGGGGGGGGGGCGCAAATCATGGCGTGCGGCACGTGCGCGGCCCAGGGGGAGGGCCAGGGGCGTCTTGAAATAAGAAGAGGCGCCATGAAATCTGGGGAAATACCATGGCCCCCGCCGTGATATCCCCCTCCCTAAGTCATCACCCCCCTCTTTGCCGCCCCCGACATCATGCAGGCCACCGATCTGGGAAGGCCTTTGGGGCCAAGCTCTCTCCAGGAATACCTGCGTAAACGCTTGAAACACGCGATCGGGGCTCTTCTGACCCAGATCAGTCAGGCCTTGCAGAATCCTGCAAGATCCTTCACCCAAACCTGGGTCAATGCGCAGGATCCTGCAAGATCCTGCAGGATCATGCACCCAGACCCGGGTCAATACGACCCTGGCCCTGCAGGATCCCGCAAGATCGGGCGCTCTGGCTGACCCCCGTTTGCAATGACCCCCGTCTC